TGATGAAACAGGTATGCATGAAAGAAACTTGGATCAAAAGAAAACCTACTTATGGCCTCCCTGCATCTGTGGGAGATGGTTGTGTTTCTGGAGGTCTTCCCCTGTGGCCAAATTGGTCATAGTGAGAAGTACAGCCCACGTGGCGTTAAGAGGACTGTATGTATGGTTCCTTGAGAAAGTAAGCGGGGTCTGCCTCCAGCTGTGATGGCCTACAAATACCAGTTAACAGAGCCACAAAACTGATACCAACATTCTTTTACAGAGTAGTAAACATGTCAGTTCTGGACAGGATTTGCTCTAATAATCTCTGCTTATCATGGATGTTTTTTAGTAATTAAAATCACCTTGTCAATACATGGATCAATATTAAGATAACTTAGAAATTACTACAGTGCAGCTAATCTGGTACTGAGACATAAGTGCCCGTCTACCATGCATTTTAAGTTATGAAGTATTACAAATGTTATAAAAAAAAACACTAAGAAACTTTTGTGTTAAAATATCATGGCTAGTCTACCACCCCTGAAATCTCAGCTTGAACTTATTATCCAGATCATAACAAGATCACATTCTCCATTCAAGAACAGCGGGGTTTACTCAAGGCTTTTTTTCCAGTGGTTTCTTTCCCTGCCTAGCCAAGCTTTCTGGGGGCTGAGGAACCGTTTCTGCTACTGCTGCCTTTCCATCAGTCGTCTTTGCTGCTCGCTGGTTGCTTTTTGTATCCTTTTCTGTTTCCACAGGGGGGATTTCATTTGGATCAGGTGTTTCTTCTGTAGCAATAATTTCTTCTACGTGTGGCTTAATAAAATCTGATTTAGGAGGAGTAATAAAATTTCCCTTACATTTACTATGCTCAGCAACACAGAGGTATGTAGAGTAAGATTTTGCTTTCACGTTGGTTATGACCTTATCATGTTCTTTTCCTCTTCCCATACCCATATAGATTCAGTATCACAAATAATGTTACTACTTTTTACAGAGCCAAAAGCAAGCCCAAGTCTTTATGGTCTCTAATTAAAAAGATTAAGGGGTAGAACCTGCAAAACATTTACAGATGTAAATAATTGTTTCTCACATAAGTCATCTCATTTACAGGACTGCTCAGAAATGTCTAGGCTGCCCATACCAGTAAGGCAAGAGAGGAAAGAAATGCAGTTAAATATTTGTTCTTGCCTTAGGAGCAGAAAGGGGAGGGGAATAAGAGTATGAAATGTTCTGTCAGCAATGATACACCCTGTATACACCCTGTATACAAAGAAAAAATACTTAGGCAAAAATATGTAAAACAGATGTTCTGTTTTACAGAATTTAAGCCTTATTTGGAGCTAAAATGCTTTACATGAGGGAGGTTGTAACTGTGAAGAATAAATCAATGTCCTAGTAGAAATTATATAGTAAGAGCCTAAAAGAACAGTAAAAAACTGTAATACACAAGAATGCTGAATCACCAGAGAGCTTTTCATTTTCCACCCTTTCTCTAAATTGGACAAAAAAATGGTCACTTACAATTCCAACTTTACCATTTAATATGGACATAAAACTAAGAGAGAATAATTCATTGATCTCAAATAGTGGCTATACGATCAGGGTTTTCTAAAACACTTTGGCATTTAGGGTCCCTTAATAAGCAAGGCCTTTTTTTTTTTTGTTAAGTGTCAAACATCTAGCTGCTGAAATGAGTCTCACTTTGGAAAATAACACCATCTGTGTATATATACGTGCTTAGGAGGTCTTTCCTCTGCATTCAGAAATTTGAAAGTTATTATGGCTTAAAAAACTTTTGTCAGCCAGGTGAGCCAAGGTGAGAACTCGCAGCCCAGTGGAAAGGTGATTTAAAAGTGTTGATTTACATCTCTTTCACTGAGGTTTAACCTGGCAATTCATACTTTGCATTTGTTGTTGATTAAGAGCATACATACTGTAAATTTGATTGTTTGGGACCTGAGAAATATTGATTGGCATAGACTATTAACTGCATAATGTTTAATGATTTTTTTCATTGGAGTAGAAGACCATAAAGGTGAAAGTCCTCTTACCTTTCTTTTCCCTTTCCTTCCATTTGCTTGCTGTCATCGATTTTTTCTTTTTTGATACAGTTATATTATTTTGATTCTGTCCTTGGGCTGTGTCAGTCTGTCCTGACACAGAAATCACAATCACCTGCAAAGCAAAGCAAGAACAAAAAATGCACAAGCGAGAAACGTAGATGCATCACAAATTCTGTCTGAAACCACCGTAACTGAGTCCCTGGCAGCAATACATTTAGAAGTAGCTCTGACTCTTAACTTTCAGGGACACATACATCTTCTGAAGCAGAGAGGAGTGGAATCCAGCCTGTTATCTGTGAGATGGCCGACTTGTATTCCCTCTCAGTTCTGCCAAAAGGAGGGAGGCAGGAGGACAGATTTTTGAAGATAAAGTAGTAGAAATAAACTGCTGCCAAAATGCAATCATTCTTAAAAAGATGCTAATGCTAAGTAATAAACATCAGTTATCAGGTATTGCGAAGAGCGAGTCATATTCTGTTTGCACTCTGGAGGATGGAAGAGAGATGTGACACTGTTGCTTTTAAGGTGTATGTCCTGGGACCAAGATGGAGTGACCTGCTTATCATCCTTGAATTGGCTTCGTGTCATACTAAGCGAAATTGTCAAATTATTTGACATTAGTTCTTTAAAGTCAGAAAGCTTGCTGTATCTCAAATGACAAATATTCTCATGATTATATTTTGAAATTTAAAAATTAAGCTGTTTTACTTTGTCTGATACGCAGCTGTTGTGACAGTCTGAACTGTCTGAACTTTTTTATAACATTTTGATTCATTAATGTACACAATTACACACTTAAACCTTAAAATTGCAATAATGTCATCAAGTTTGATACTTGAGTTTTAACTATTTTAGGAGATAAGGCTATGTGAACACATACACTGTTTATGTGAAATGCTGAAAACATTAGTTTTACATAATTTCATGCTAAAAATCCCTGTGATGTGAAATGTATTCTGGAGGAAAAAAGATTTATACCAGACAAACTTAACATGTTCCTTGAAACTGGTGGTACTATTCATGCATAAAGTTAAGCACATGCTAATGTGTTTTGGTAGGTCATAAATCTGATCTAAATCTGGATGATTCTTTTTAATGATTAAGATCATAATCATTAGCCCTTTATAGAAACGGATTTAAAAAACCCTATTAAAAAAATGGCAAAAATCACCACTTTAACCATTGATAACTGTGTTGAATCTACTGTTACCTGAGCCATTAAGAATTCCCTCGTGCTTCCACCTCGCCTTCAACGTTAGCTGACAGTAAGCTTCAGATGGCAAGGGTTTAAGTGAGCATTAACTGTACAGCACTTACCAGTGGCATCCTCACAGAAATGCCAATACTGCAGCAAAATGAGTGCCTGGGAAACAGCGCTATTTCTGCAGTCACAGTAGCGAAAAACGGCAAGAGAAAGTATGTGGAAGGTGCACACAGATCATGCTTATACTGAAAATATATGCGTTAGTTCTTTAGATTTTGATGTGAAGAATTGTGCTGTTGTGAGACTAGTAATGAAAAGAATTATTAATAAGGCACACTGCTTTCCTAATTAGCAACTGGGCTGATAACTGCTTCTGATCATATCTATATATAT